CTCAGGCTGTTCTTGTTAGTATGATTTTGCCTTGCTTGAGTAAATGAGTAGTTATCTTTACTTGAATTGTTAGGCTTTTTGGAGCTCCAACTTTTTTTTTGTTTTTAATTATTATACTTGTAAATCCTGCCATAGATTCTCATAAGTTTGATGAGTGTAACATTTGGGTTTCACTCAAAAAGCCAAGCACTTTTGAAACTGTGTTATTTTGCTGGGTTCTGTTATCGACTTATTTATCTTTTGTGGATCTTAAGATAATAGAGTTTCACTCTGGCAGATACAAAGTTTCGAGGAAGAGATCTCTGTGCCGTATATTGCAGATAAAGAAGGTGGTCCACCAGGTTTTCGTGCTTTATTCATCCGTGCTCCTGCTATCCTTGAAGTTGGCTCAGATGTTGAAGTTTTGGCAGAAGTTCCTATTCCGGACAAAGTTAAGAATTCAGACATGATAAAGGAGATTCAAGAGGTTAGCACATACTTCGTATAATATTTTCCTCCATTCCTATCTTAAAGGCGGAACATTTTTCTTTTCTATGAGGGCTAGATAATTTAACACTTTGATTTTTGTGACTTTTGGATGCTGGTGGGGCATTAAAAGAGTTTAAAAAAATCTTTAAAAGGAGTTTATAGTAGCCAGTTCCCTATTTTCAAGTTTTCCTCTTGTTATTCAAGCTAAAATTTGACTTGTCTGAGAGGACTTTTGAAGAGAGTAGGTTTGAAACCTTGACAAGGAGCTGGTCTTGATCAGGTCCCAAGGAATTTGAATCTAGGTCATATGAAGTGGTGCTATTTATGATTTTATGGTTTGAACATCCAAGGGTCCTTTCTGCTCTTGGTAACTGTTGAAAACCTCCTCCTTTTGAGAATCGATGTGTTGGTCCTACAGGATCATCCTAAGACATTGGGCCTTGAGATGCATAGATGTCTAAGACATAGGGCCTTGAGATGCATAGATGTCTAAGAAGTGGTCCATTGTGCATATGCTTGAGGAGTTCTCTGGTTCCCTCGGAAACAAGTTTTAATTTATTGTAGTTAGAGGCTGGTCAACCATTGGGTCAGGTTCATTTAGGGATTAATAGACCAGCCCATAGCCATTTCAAGCCACGTATTCTGACATTCAAGGGCTTACTATCTTTTTTTTCCTTCCTTTTTTTTTAATCTTTTGGAAATTGATTAAATCACTGTTACATATAAGATGAAGTCCTTTCATTCGTCCTCGAACTTGGGAATCAAGAAGGTTTGTGAAAAAATCATGGGGCTTGGACCAATTTGAGAACACCATTGAAGAATTCCCTATCACCAATTTTGTTACTCATACCTTTCCTTTGTATTATAAAATAGGAGATGTATCTACTCCCTCTATCCTCCAATAATTGTCCACAAATACCCGTCCTATGACATATTTTACTTTATATATAAAAAATCTTCCAAACCATCTCTTTCTCCTCGCGGTTCCCTTCCTTCGTTTTTTCTATCTCTCCATCTAATGGTCCCTCTCCCTCTCCCTTTATCTCTCTCACTTGCACTTATTTGTTTTTTTATTTATTTTTTATAATTCCTTTCCCTTCCTTTGTTTTTTCTATCTCTCCATCTAACGGTCCCTCTCCCTTTATCTCTCTCACTTGCACTTATTTGTTTATTTATTTTTATTTTTTTTTATAATTCCTTTTTTACGCTACAAAAAACCTGTACGAGCTATACCACCTAACTAAAAACTACTTCCTCCGTTTCTTTTTGGTTGAAACATTTTCCAATTTAGGAATTGGCATGTTATTTGCAAGTAAATTTAGTAAGTTTAATTTAGGAAAATTTGTCAGAAACAACCTTTTAAAGTGTTCACTTTATTTAAAACAACCTTTTAAATTTTTTTTTGTAACTTCAGACTACATTATAAAATTTTTTTGTCAAAGACAACCTAATGGCTAATGCTACTTTCCGACGTTGGCTCTATTTTTTCCGGTGTTGACCACGAGTGTGCAAGGCACGTGACCTCTTATATTGCTTAATACACCCCTTTTCCCTCCAATTAACTCAAATTAAAACCTCTGCCTCTCTCTCATTCAATTTTGGAGACAAAAATCACTTTTCACCATCAATACCCTTTGCAATTCTTCTCTACTGCTGCTACTTCCGTTAACGAAGAGTTCCCAAATACAATAAGAATTCATTTATGCAATTTAGTATAAAGGTTCAAACTTTCTCCTATTTTCGCTTCTTCACTTTTTTATTTTTATTTTTATTTTATTTTACATTTGCTGCCATGGTTAAAGATAAAGGAAAGAAGAAAGCTGTGTCATCTTCTAGGGAATTGAAGGTCAATTATTGAATAATACAAAAGCCCACGTAACTCGCTTTACGTGTTGCATCCCCTTTGACCAGTTCCATGGTTGTAAAACTTACAAGCGTAAAATTTTATCATGAGTCCACAAGGTCCTCTTAGCAACAGGGATACCACAAGCGCATTTGATATCCCTCGGATAAACCATACCATGAATGCTGCATAATTGACAAATCCTTAGTCAATTAATTCTTTCAAAAATTTGGGGGAAAATAACCCTAATTTTCAATAATGAAACAAACAATTAAACAACAGCAACCACGATACCTGGTTTGAAATTGATGAATTGCTTGGTTGAAAACTTGAAATCCCAGATTCAGATAGCTTTAGAGGAATTTACCCTAGAATATTTTTCCTATTGATCGAAAAAGAGGAATGAGAGAGAAGCAGAGGTTTTAATAAGAGTAAAAGGGTGTATTAAGCAATATAAGAGGTCACGTGTCTCGCACACTCGTGGTCAACACCAGAAAAAATAGAGTCAACGCCGGAAAGTAGCATTAGGTTGTCTTTGACAAAAAAAATTTATAATGTGGTTTGAAGTTACAAAAAAAAAAAGGGATATTCTCAATGGTAACCCCCTACAATTGCTACACACCAACGGTAACCCCCCTTTTTTTGGATTATACGAAATGATCTTAGTTATCTTTTTCCTCCTAATGATGACATTAATGATGGTGTTTTAAAAAAATTTAAAAGGTTGGTTTAACAAAGTGGGCACTTTAAAAGGTTGTTTCTGACAAATTTTCCTTTAATTTAAGTACCAAGATTACCTCACCCCTCCCATTTCCACTGTCTCTACTCAATGGGATTAATTTTGCATATCGCATACCCCTTTCCCTTTCTCTCTCTTATTAAATTTGTGTGTCATTGGTTTGGTTGCAACTTAAAAGAATTGATGGGGAGTATTATCATGTGTGCCTAACCCTAAGTGGATATTTATTTGTTTTTGAAGGAAGTGCTTTATTTATCTCGATCTCAACAGGTTCTCTTGGCAGCAACCCTCTGAAGAGGAGAAACTGTTAGAATAATGGACTAATTATCGGATGAAGAAAGAAAGGAGCTAGGGAAAAGGGATGTTAAGAAGTCATAGGAAATAATAAAATTTTTGTGGATAACATCTGAAAGTGTATGATATATTGGAGTTTATGAGACTATATTTAAGAGTTATTGAGAGAGTTGAGTGTGGAGAACTGGAGATATAGAGGGGATAGAAATGGGGTTGTTTATAGAAACATGTGGGAAAGGAGAATATTGAGGAAAAGAAAGAGGGGGATCTTAGACATTGGAATTTTGGACAAATGCTTAGCTGCATGTTATCTTCCAAAGACTTTGGTGAGCTAGTCCAGGATTGTCGGGCGATTGTACGTGTTCTTACCATTAGATGAGCTTCGTGTGAGGTTCTAGAAGTCTGTAACCTAATCGAATTGGCTTAGGGAAGGCACACTACTAGAGGTTTATGAATATTCATATTAGGTTCATAATCAATTATGTATAGATCCGTATTTGATGTTTCTCCGCAAATATATTTTTCATCAAATTCCAAGAGCTGATTCTTACTTGTATCGATCCTTTGTGATTAGTTTACATTAAGCTGCAAGCCAATTACATCAAGTGTGCTAATTAATAGCGGTTTCCAGCTAAACATATCAATTACTTGATTCAACTAACTAATCATTATATTTATCAGATCCTATAAACTATCGTTTACAGTAATGCATGTTGTTTGAAGGACATACTTCCAATAGGCATTTTTGTTGCTGATGATTGATATGCAAAATTATGGACTCCTGTCATGAAAAGAGTGGAAATTAGGAAATCCTCTTTGTTCAAAGGGCCAACCTTTGTGCAAAATTTTTTTAAAAAGTAGTACTAGTATATGATTAATGTTGCTTGTTATCTGTATTGATAAATAATGTAATTTTTGGAATAATTGGTCATTTTCATGTCATAATTGTCATCATACCTGATTAATTTTATTGAATTTCTGTAGGTGAATCTTGAATCTGTAAACAAAGTGGCTGTAGCTGTAAAGCAAGGGAATTTGCTAGGAACGTCCTTCCATCCTGAATTGACTGCTGACAGTAGATGGTAACTATTTGACTTTCAGAGTTTTTATTTTATTTTATTTAATAACTTATCTGTTGAAACTCACTATAATAAACTTATTGCTGTTTGCAGGCATTTGTACTTCATCAAAATGGTAAACGACCTTAGAGAAGAGACCATGACTGATACCGAGTCCGAGACTTCAAACAGTATCATCAAAGCAGGAGACTTGAGTTCTTTGCAAGATACAAAGATTGAACTCCCCATATATTCTTAGCATTCTCTTATAGCCTGCTTCTAATTTAAAGATTTATTAGGATAATCTTATGAAGATATAGGTTACTTTTTTCACTTTGAAATGATTGTCCATATTCGATATATGCTCACACAGTCACGCCAATGGAAGTTGGCTTCATTTTCAAGGGTTCTGTCAATGTCAATCAATTTGTTGGTTTCATTATTATGAAGGGTTTTGTCAATGGCAATTTGATTTAACAACTAAACTATTGCGATGCACTACGAAGGTGATCTAATTTGTTGGTTTCATCATTTTCCCGTTGGTAATAGCATAATCACACCAGCAAACCTAGTTGATTGGCACCCAGAAGATTGGATATGATCACTTGATTAAGATGTTGAAATATCACTAACATCTTCAAACCGTTTTTGGTTTCATTACTGGCTTTACGTCCCATTTGAAAATAATGTGAAAGAATGTAAAAATGGAAGTCATTATTTAACAATGTATAAGAGGATGATGCTTGTGCTTCAATCCTCATAAATTGGTAAGGTACTAGCGAACTATCCACAAATAGCCTCTACAGCTAAACTTTTCTTCACTCCACTACATGGATCGCCAAATGTGTCGATGGACACTCCAATCTTGCAACTGCGAGCTCCAACACAAGCCTGTATGAAAAATTTGATGGTCAGAGTCGGATATAAACTGAAATTTGTGAAGCACATACGAGTTCCAGAAAAGGAAGAACAAATATAAGGAATAAGATGGCCCACCTTCTTCACAATTGGCAGTGCTTGGAAGCTCCTGCATTTACCATGTGTATAACTCCCACAAGAACCTTGAGGAGTACCAAAGCTTGCAAATTTGATTGAAGAAATAACTTGATGTGGTGCAGGGCACTCTAGCAAAAGCATAGGCCCTAATTTCTTGTCTGTTTGATCTGTATTCCACATATCAACAGGTGCTGGATGAGTCTCTGATACATGTGAGCACATGCTCCCGACTTGCTTAGTGGCGATAGAAATCTTTGTGGGATCTCCGCCAATCTCTTCAAACACCACAAGAACATTGCCACTCGGTTTCACCCATGAACGAGGTACATGATACCTGTAATTCATAAAAAATAAAAATACAGGTTCATGATGCTTAGTTTATAGTACTTAAAGATAATTCACTTGGGTGAAAAGGAAATTACTCCTGGTGCTTACAATTGCTGGGGCGGTTTTCCACAATTTTTGAGACATTTGTCCGATTTATAAGGTCCTCTGTAATCACAATGGTCACTGCAACCACCACTTGGCGAACTCAAAGTTGGCCAATAGCGTCCTATGCTTTGCCCATTCACCCATGCCTCACCTTTTCCCATCCCGGTGAAGTCCAGAGCAAGTGGGTCATTCCCATCAGGAGCATTGAACGATGTCTGAGTAAGTAGTTATTTTCAGAATAAGCATCCCATAATTACAAAAATTCATATTATTAAGTGGTTAGATGGCCATCTCTTCTATGGCTTCAAAAGCTTCCATCTTAGTGTTAGATAGTTTGTCTAAGATGTAGCACTTTCAATTTCAAGTAGTTATGTTAAGAGATACACATGCATGCCCTGCATCCAGATGAATATATTGTACAATACATCACCCTTTGACATTTAGCCAGTTTGAATAATAAGCAATAATGTCACCGAAACACCAGGTATTTGAGCTACTTTACTGAGAGGTTGGACACTCATACTCAGTATTTGGAAGACAAATTTTTGTTATATAAGTATATATTTCAGGATATAATACACTTTTCTAACTTATGAATACTTGCCCAATTATATTTAAAGCAGGGTAGTCACAACTTGATGACGGATGAGCATGTAAATCATGGTACCATATGCAATAGATTATTGCAATTATTTGAAAAATGAGAATTATTTTTAAGGGTGGTAGATCATTTAGCTGTTGCTCGTAAAATGAAGTGAGAATTTAAGATTACCTTGTACCACGTTAGGGGCTGGTTCTTAGGGAAGGCAGATGAATCCCAATTACAGGAACCTCCACTGGCTAAATCTAAGTCTTCACCTTTCAGTCCAACCTGAAATTTTATTAAGAGAAGAATACTTGTGATTCGAACATCCAGAAATGGAAATTCACTAATTATGGAATAGACAGCTGAACACATTTCCACTCCTTTGTCTTTGCCACTTTCGTTTTTCATTTACTTTCCCTTTCTGTACTTCAGTTTTATAAAGCTTATTGCTTCCGTACAAAATGGAAGACTTTATATCCAGCCACTTATCTATATTTTGTATAGCCACCTTATTAGAAATATATCAGTGAGAAGCAGAAAAAATTACTCAAGGTAAGAAGATGAACCTGATATGTCCATGGTTGAGAAGAGAGATCTACAGTAAGGCCACCGTTAGAGCTTCTAAGCAATGCAGGACCAGTAACACCAGCACCCGCTAAATCAAAAAATGCTCCATAATTCTACAAAAATTCATGGAATTAACAGGTAGTCATAATTTGACACTATTCAGTACTGTATTCATTATTGTATATGCTTGGCTGTACTCAGAAATTTATCAAAGTACTATTAGTCACTAACCGCAAGTCCCACAGTCAAGCTTAGGAGATCAATTGCGTTCTTTCCTGTGTTAAGTGTTGCAGGAATGTCCACTGAAATCTTATGATCTCCTGTCGGGGAATATCTGGTAGCTGGCCACAGCTCCAGCAAACAAAGCATTGTCATTATAGAAAGAAAAAGGTGACTAAAGACGAGCATTACTTCTGGAAGCAAGTTCGGTATTCTAAATTAACCTAACTGTTGCTTTAAAACATAATTTTGTTATGCACTTGAAGTTGGCAGTTATCATCACTTAATCAAAAAATTGGGAACTAAAGGATATCATCACTCTAAAGTATTGATTAAAATTTAGACATGATGCTAAAGGATTTTCACCGTAGAATGTAAACACCTAGATCCAAATTCTAATTTTATGTAGCACATGAACTTTCAATTTACTAAGCAAGCCTGCTTCATGATAAAAATCAATAGTGATTACAAAGCTGTAATTTCTACCTGCAAGCTTCCCGTTAATGAAAGCGTGAAGGCCATGACCAAGTGATTGAATATGAAGAACAGTCTGAGATCCATTCTGAAGGTATGGTTCATCACCTTCGATAGTAATACTGCAATACATTAAGTTCAGGTTTCAAAGACATCCCAAGCAACTCAACAATGGTGATAAAGATGATATATATGCCACTTGATAACTCAGCAATGTTTTTAGACCAAGCAATGTCTTGAATACAATACCTTGATGAATACCACAAGTAGTCACTTTTGTCAGCTGTAGTATTTATTTGCTCCAGTAGGCCAGATTTTACAAAGGCTTGCGTCTTTGATATACCTACTGGTTCTCGAAACCAACTCCATGTTGACTGGATATCTCCAGAAGAATCAAGGTTGTATTTTAGAGATTGAGGAATAAATTTGGGAAGCATGGCCATAGAATTTATCTGGCACAAGAAATTTTCAATCAACTGTCATGTCTGCTTGGTATATGTAGGAAACTAAAGCAATTTCAATCGAGCAATGAGCAGCTTGGAACAATTAACAAAACCAAACTAGACTGGAAAAAGAGCTACTTGAGGTGCCCAGATCTACACATAAGGAAAGCTTCCATGGAATACAACATTTCATTAATACATGCTGTGCAGTGAGGAATTTCTACTTTTTTTTCAAACGGATCCTCCTAAAAAAGTTATTTTTCCATATTCTCACATAAAGTAATAAGACATTTTTGACAAATTAAACACACCTTTGCAGTATTGAGCACCACATTTTTGCAGTCAGGCAAGATGCTCACTGACCATGCAGGTAAGTGATATGAGTTGCCATTGAATTTCACTGTTGCATCAGAATGCGTATCCGTATTGGCCAGAAATGCGGAACACAATCCTGATTGTGTTTTGTATACCGTGGCCTGAAAAAGAGAAACTATATGAGGTAGGTTTCTTTGGAACCTCCAAAGATATGAGAATATATTCAACCAAAAGTCATAGTACTGCAAAAGACATAACTTAGAGAAAATTGACATCATGACCACATTTGACTCTTATGGCAACGCTCATACAATATTTCGCACTATGTACATGACAAAATAACACCCTAGTTAAATGAAAGTTTTAGTCATAAATCACAGCCTGTAGTTTTGTTAATAGCCAAAAAGATAAGAAAGGATTTTGCTTGCAATTAAACAAAAGTTTTTATGATGAATATATTATATTGATACTGGTATATTCTTCAAAGAGGTATGCCAATGAAGCAAGTTGACATATTGCTTTAGTTACCTTAGATGACTCTTATAAACCATACAATATAAATATGACATACTACCTCCGTTTTTAATTAGTTGACACATTTTGACTTTAGCACTATTCACACACTCCCCTTTGACTGTTTTTTGTGCTTTATACGTAATGAAAAATATAGTCATGCGGGATCTTGTTAGATTCGTCACGAATTTTCAAAATATCAACTTTTCATAATTTTTACTTATCGGTAATTAAAGATATTAATGGTTGAATTAGTGCATTGGCAAAAGTGACTAAAGAATCGTGTCAACTAAAAAGAAATGGAGAAAGTAATATATTTGTGTCTCCTGGGCATTAAGTAAATGGTCAAGCTTCTAGAAACTTGCAATGGATTTGAAAGAGGGAGAACATAATTACATAACTTAAGCACGAGAAGTCTGCAACACAAAGATAGAAAAAGAGAACAGATTTCGTTGTTAAAGCTGTAATGATGGATCATACCTCCAAATTTGCACCTAGAGAAGGGTATGTGGGATCAGTTGCCACCATTGCTGCCTCACAGAGCTTTATTGCCTTATGCACATCTTTTAGGTGGCCCCATTTTGGCTGCCTAATAATGCCTGAGTTTTATTTTTAGATGTAAAAACAAACAAGAAAGATGTCAATTCCTTTCAACTTTTATGTGCAATACGGAGTATCTTTTCAACTTATATAGCGCCTATATGAGAATTTATATCTTGGTAGTTGCAGCAACATTTCCTCTACATTATTGACTTAAGTGGAGTAAATGATGCTTTGACTTGAATAAAAACTATTGCATTAAGTAAATCATGCATGAGCATACCGTACTCATCGATTGGAGCATCATAATCATAAGTGGTAGTAATGAATGGTCCACCAGAAGTGCGGTCAAAGTTGGTTCCTCCATGGTACTGTTTAATACAAATTAGACATATTAGTATACACTCCTGTATTCTTCAGTGTGTACCCGCACATTAGCACGGGTTATATCCTTAAAGAAGAAAAATATTCTCTGATACTTATTGGGGAAATTTGAGGTGTAGGTATAAATTGAGGAAGTTTCTTTGATTTGTTTTTATTTTTCTAGATGGAGTTTGTAGAATTTTAAGACTTGGGTTAGTGAGAGTTGTAGTTGAAACAACTCTTCTGTTATTAGAGTAAGAATTTTATAGCAGTAATTATTTCTATGTCTCTATGAATAAAGTAGCTCAACTATGTGAAATGTAATCAGGAGCAGAGTACTACCATGTAATAGTTTTGCATCGATCCCCCTCGTTGATAAAAGCGTGCTACTGCAAAAGCTAGGTCTTCAACAGGTCGATAAGGTATCTTACCACCAAAAGAAGTAAACCTAACACACCAGAAAGGCTAAACCATAAAAATCCAGAAACAATGTACTGAAAGAGAAGTCTATTTCTTGGCATGGCAACCCATGCTTATGAAGAATAAAATAATCAGGGAATAATTGCTGATTTGTTTATAGTTTAAGCAAGTCATAAGATATTATTCCAATTTCCTGTAGAATATATAAACCCAAAAGAATTATTATTTATTAAAACGAGACAGATTCATAAACCTCACTCACCATCCACTCCAATTTTCTGTCCATAATTTTGGTGATTGGTTGGAGTTTGGTGTAAACTGATCGCAGTAAAATCCGTTACACGTGTTGATCTGCGTATAATGACAATTACAGAAACAACAAGAAAGATTACAGAACTATTTTCTTTTTTATTGTTTATCAGATATCCAACCAACATAGCAAACATTTATCAAAGATTCCGGCTTACAATAGGAGCAGGGGCATCTGACTGTTGGCACATAACCCATGGCACCCCAGTATCCAAAGACACCGCCATGTTTGCTGCCCACTTAATGTAAGATTTTCCAGCCGATCCATACGCTGCATCAATATTTCCGTACTCGTTTTCAATCTGTGATTAGCAAAATTAAATATACTATTACTCCGTATCAACTAAACATCCCTATCAAGTGTCAACAAACACTCATCATTGACCCATGTCATGAGGACTTTAGTTAGTCAAAAAAACACATTTTTTAATGGTTAGATATGTATGATTATAATATATAGGCTCAACCACCAAAGATTTTTCAACAATCATCATAAATCAGTATTGAATTGTAGAACTAACCTGGGACAAGATTATGGGTCCTCCTTGTGAAGCATATAGGTCATTTTTCTTCATCAAATCCACAATATAGGTGGTGAATCGCTTCATCTCGTCCTATATCACCATCATCCATCATGTATTAGTATTTTCAGTAACAATTTTTTTTTTTTTATACTAGTATATTTACTAGAAAATTATGAATCCAAAATCCGAATTACTAGTAATAAAGGCTAAGATAGCAACCTTGAATGGCTCATTATCGGTCCGAAATTTGATCCCAGGAATAAAATGCAACCAAAGAGGAAACCCACTACATCAAACATTTACAGAATTTAGACCCACTAATACATCAAATTTTCCAGGAAACAACATTATGACAAAAGTTGTACGAATTATAAGATTACATTCTTTCAAAAAGAGTATATGATTACGTTAGTACTAAAACTAGTTAAATTACAAACGAAAATAGTAAATAAAATTACCCATAATTCCATTCAGCGCAAACATATGGTCCAATCCGAAGATGAACATAAAGCCCAGCTTCACCAACTAATTTGACAAACTTGACTAGATCTTTTCTATCAGAAAAATCATACTGCATTACCAAAAATGGGATTAATAAAAGTATACTCCCATCAATTCCCATAAATTTAATTTGGTACTTCATTAAAAACATCATTTAACTGAAGTTTCCAAAACTGAGAATAACGATAAACCCAAGTAAATTTTCATCATTTTCTCCAAATTTATACTACTATTAACTACCACAATAATTAAAGAAAGCAAAATGATATAGAAATTGCAACTAAAAATAACTCAACAATTTTTTTTAAAATAAAATAAATGAAAAACCTGGCCTCGAACTGGCTCATGCAAATTCCAAAAAACATAAGTTTCAAGTATATCTAGTCCTCCATCCTTTGATTTTTGAATGAGGTCTGGCCACATCTGTACACAAAAAGTAATTTAGTTCATAGGTAATGTAATCCGTTATAACAAAATCACGCGTCGATTGGTGTAATTAAAAAAAAAACGGAACAAACCTCGGGTGTGCTACGAGGGTAATGAATGGACCCAGACACAAGAACACGGCGTTTGCCATCAATGACTAAAGCTCGATGATCATACGTCACATTACTCGCAGCAGCAAACGACGTCGTAGTAACAACACCCAAACAAACCACTATTAACAACATCATCATTTTCTTCTTCATTGTAATCAATTTTTCTATAACAACCCAAAATAGAAATTTATTTTTATGATTTTGAATATTTATAGTAATAATGTGGAGTATTAATTGATGAAAAACCCAGAAAAAAATACTTTAAGATATAATAATGTTGAGTTTAAAGCTAAGATAGAAGAGAAATTGAAGCAAATTGTTGCTAGTCCGCTTTGTTGAACAAAACCCAGGTTAAAAGATAACCCAAAAAAATACTCAAGCCTAAAGCTAAAGACTAAAGAACCCCAGCAAAACTTCTTTTGTTTAAGTGTTCGGCTTTGGCACGTTTATGTGGCGATATCTATATACTCTCGAAAAATTCCTCCTTTATTCATTCATATATCGTCTTGATAAAAGATGGTTTACAATATAATGTGGATACGTAGAAAATATTAAATAATGTGATATTAATGGGGAATGTTGTATAATGGTGATAGGTGGTGAGTCATGACAATTGAACTGCTACACTTAATATGTTTTAATAGAGATGGGAAGTGAGATTAGCGAAGTTAATTGTGATTAAGGAGGAGGTAATAGGGTGGAGGAGGGTACAAATTAGTGTGGAGTGGTCCCGAAAGTATTAAAAAATGGTGAGGATGATTTAATGGGAGAATTGAAGGATGTTGATAACCAACCACGTGAAGGTGGAGGATGTGGGTTGGGAAAACAACATTTGCGAAAATGAGTAATGTCTTTCGGTGGGGGGAGGTTAAGTGCAAACGTGGCGACTCGATATGGGGTTCGTGATTATAAAATGTTAAACTTGTACTAGGGTGGGATTTGTGTCTATTAACTTTAATACATCCGTTCTCTTTTTTGGTGTTCCGCCCAAGGGTGCTAATTGAGTTGAGCAGCTTGAACTCGACTCGCTCAAACTCGATTTGAGTTGATTCTTGCTCGCTCGAAACTTGTTAAGTGTATCGGATTTTCAACATTTTTCCATTCTTCTATCTTCAAAAACAAAAAATTATCTTGACTTAATAATTATAAATTAATACACTTTACTAGGAAAAATTTATATAAAGTTAAAAAAATATAGTCAACAAACATTTGAAATTTAAGATGCCTAAATCTTTAAACGAGCAGCTCATGATCAACTCGGCTCGACTAGAATCATAATGAGCACGAGTCGAGTAGCCCTCTGCTCGTGATCGACTCGCTCGATCAGCACTCCTAGTTCCACCCGTTTCACCCTTTAGGCTAATTCGGATTTGGGGGCCTAATTCCGAGTGGTTAGGTTCCACTCCCCTCCCAATTGTTGTTGCGAAGAATTGAACACACGGTCCTCCTTACCTAGTGTAGCCTCAATCACTGAAACACTTTGACTTTTACACTATTTATTTATTCTACTTTGATTAGCTTTTCTAATTTATAGTTATGAAAAAATATTGTTATACATGATCTCATTAGATTCATATGAATATCATGTTTTTTATATATATTTTTCCATATTAATAATAAAGTATATTAATGATTGAATAACTACATACTCCTTTTTGTATTTTATACTATTACTAAAACGGGAAAAAAAAATTACCACAATTCTAAAAAAAAAGAAAAAAAATTATCTGCTTCCCACGTCTTTTACTCCATAATACTCTTTCCGTTCCAGAATATTTGGGACATTGGACTTTTTTCACTATTCATATATTAGCTTTGACCATAATTTTTTACTAACATGATAAAAACATATTTTATCATAAAATATGTTGTTAGATAGGTAGTAATATAAAGTTTCATAATATAATTTTTAAAATAATTTTTATTAATATTTAATTATATAAAATTAAAGTCAAACTAATACATTGGCTTATAGATCTAAGGGATTAGCCAATGTAAAATGAAAACCTTGGCGGGAAATGAGAATAGCTAAATAGTCTATAGTAGCATCAAATATCAAATTGTACGAAATAACGATTGAATTTAAGGTGACATTTCTATGCAGCATATGATATGACATGCCAAATTGCCGACACTATCACTATCACTAGAATACCCTCACAATGAAAGCAGATACTTTCGTAGTGATATTATTTTTTTTTAATAAAAATAATAGTATAAATATTTAAGGGAAATTCTCTTTGGTAACACCCAACTTTTTTTTTTTTCTCTTTGGTAAAGGGCCAAAGCTTTCATTATCATTGGTAACATTGTAGTTTTGATATTAAGTTACTTATAACATTAATGAGTAATTTATATTAGATTTTTTACTATAGTTAAAGGTTTTGGGTTTTAATAATTAATAATCATAAAAATATTTTTTTTTTTAAAAAAAACCCAAACCCGCTCCCACCCACCAGCCTTCTCCCCTACCGGCGCCGAGCACCCTCCACCCTCGGCCGACGCCCCACCCTCCCCTCATTCCCTAAACCCGACGCCCCACCCAGTCACTACAGCAACCTCACAATTCACACTTCCATCTCTATTTTTTTCCACCGCACACCATCAATCAACTGCCCCGCAAACAACCGCACCTCACATCCACCTCACGCAAACACCTTCACCTGCTCCTCTCACCCTCAATTATCGACCGGTGGTTGGAGTGTGTGGCTACCTCAAATTGCAATTTTTCACATCTCTGTTCGCGGCCGTGGTAAACCTATGCTTGGAGGATGCGTGCCCGCGATGAGAATGAATCAAAATTGGGATTTCTCTGTTGAATTGCTGCCATGGTTCTTCAATTAGATGCGAAATTAGTGCAATTGGGGCTACTGCGGTGGTGCGAAGGTGGAGTGGTGGCTGACTTGTGGTATGTTGCGACGGTTCGGTGGTATTGTTGGCGGCTGGTCAGGTGGTTGGCGTGTGCGAGGTTGAGATGGCCGGTGTAGACACCTAATTGTGTCTCCCCAAAAACCAAACCCTCAGAACTATTAACCTTTCACGTCGAGGTCGATGGCAACTTCGAGATTGGCTAGGAGTATTCGAAGCTCGTGATAGAGGTATGGTGTTTGATTAGGGAAAAGTATCAAGGATGTATTAGGACGTGTTTAAGCTAGGCTAAGAAATGAACCAAGAGAGACAGAAAGTATTAGAGAAGAGATTAGATGGTGATTGTTGGTTATTGAAAACGGGGTGAAATGACCTCTACTTATAAGGAAGAAAGAGGGTTGAAGGATCCGAATAGAGTCAGAAATCAAATCAAAGTAAAACAGGTTCCATCGCGGGCGCGACAGACTTGTCGCGGCACGATGATGCCGTCGCTCAGTGATGGTTTTGGAAAGATAGAATTTGTACGGAATCCGATATCCAGTCGCATTGGGTTAACCAAATTTCTGTACGTATTCTATTTTGACCGGATTAGGATCATAGAAAAACAGATGTTTTATCCGATGTAAAATTTTTAAATCTTTATCTTTTCGAAAACAGGATAAATTAGAACCTTCTAGAGGATTCCAGAAGTTCACAATAAATCCTAATGGATTTATGATCGAAAACAACCTTCTAGAAGATTCTAGAAGTTGTAATAAATTCTAGGGATGAGATTAAGGTAAATGGATCTTCCACATGGTCATTGGGCCGCAGGTAAGGCTTTGGTTCAGGCTCGGTTTAGTATTTTAGCCATAACTTCTTCGTTATAAGTCGGATTTGGGCTTATAATATATCGTTGGAAAGATCTTTTCAAACCCCATCCAAATACACAATAGTTGGATCAAGATCATGGACCAAAATAGACTGGTTTGGACGTTTTCATAAAGAGGACACGATGAATGATTTTCAAAGACACTAAATGAACGATTTTGTGTTTAAAGACATTTAAGGAAAGGTTATAAATGGTCAAGGCTAAAGGAAATTTCACGAGACTCCTTAACTCTTTACCTTACTCGATAATCAAAGACGTGAAAGGTACTCATCACTGGATTTGGTTTTTGGGGAGACACAATCAGGTGTCTACAGCTGGACTGCTTGCGATTTATTGTGGGGAGCAGGGGAGTATCATGGCTGCAGATGCGAGGTGAAGGAAGCGGTGTTTTGGGCGGATAATTGTGGCGAGGTGAAGCAGGGAAGGTGGAGATGGCTGCTGTGAATTGGATTGTTGCAGGCTGTAATTTTGTCGCTTGGTTGCTGTAGGGAATTTTTCAAACTCAACCTTTTGAACCCCACTGCGTTCATGCTTTTAGGCATGGCTGCGCTCCAAGGGAAGGAAACTAGAGATAGAAGAGATGCGAACAAGTTTTAGGAACTTGTAAACCGTTCACGGGTGCGAAGGTTACACCCCATTCACGATCACGAAGATCACTAACTCTATAGTGGTCCGGAACCATGACTGGATGTTCGGGGATGATGGTACGAATCCAACCGAAAAGAGATCAAACCCGCCCTAAATCGGCCTCTACTTGATTCTTATGATATTCATGTGCGCTTTTCGATCAACATACATACATCAAATTAGCCCTAAACCTGTTTAATCTACATTGGTTAATTATTAATGCACAATCAAATCTATTATTGGTGATCAATTGAATTAAAATCATATTAACCTAAAATCAAATTATTAATTATCTTATTAGGCGTGATTTTAAGTACAAATTCCCTTTAAAACTGCAAGAAGGGGCGTGATCAGGCAATAACAATAAACCATGAATAATCAAGCAATGTACAATTAATCGACACAACAATCATCATCATAATCAAAATCATCAAAACATCATTAGTAAGATCCTAGGCATGATACTAAACGGATTAATAACAAATCCTAGCATGTCACTAATATAAATCATAATCAAAGCATTAACCTGAACATGATACTAGAAATCATAAAAAGCATCCTAAACATGATACTAGGAATCATAAAGACATCCTAACATGATACTAGGAATTAAAATAGTATTCTATACATGATTTCTATTCCAAAACCAAGGATTAAGTAATTGAATTACTTACGTTGATGTTCCTCTCTTCTTGCTATTAAAACAATAAACACGTTAGTAACTTCAAGAAAGATTAAATCAACAAAGTAAATAAATCAAATAATAATTTAAATATAGATTTGGAACTAAACCCTCAAAACTATCAACCTTTCTCGTTGGGGTCGAAGGCAACGTTGAGGAGGGCAAGGAGTGTTCGAATCTCGTGAATGAGGAATGGTGAATGATTTGGATGAGTATCAAGGATGTGTTTAGGCTAAGGTTAAGAATATGGAGAGATAGAGAGTATTAGAAAGGGTATTGATGATGATTGTTTGTGATTGAAAATGGGGTGATACGACCTTTATTTATAAGGAAATAAGAGGGTCGAAGGATCAGAAAAGAGTCAGAATTTAAATCGGACTAAACAAGTCTCATCGCGGCGTGACAGTTTTATCGGGGCGCGATAGGTCCATCGCAGTGCGATGGTTCTATCGTTCTGCGATGGTTTTGGAAAGATAAGAATCCGTACGGAGTTTGATTCCCAATCGGATTGGGTCAACCAAATATCCGTACGTATTTTTTTTTTACCGGAATTAGGATCATCAAAAAAGAGATGTTTTATTCAATATCAAATTCTTAAATCTTTATTTTTCGAAAACATGATAATTAGAACCTTGTAGAGGATTGTAAAAGCTCATAATAAATCCTAACAGATTTAGTATTGAAAACAACCTTCTAGAGGATTCTAGAAGCTTGTAATAAATCCTAATTGGTTTAGGAATGAGA